CGAGGACTGGTCGTAAGTGCGAGGACCTTCCAGAAATGACTCTGACCAGCTAGCCACGCCCACCTAGTCACATGACCCACAAGCCACACCCACAAAATAAGCCACGCCCACAGAACCGGTAGTAAAAAAATTTAGAACCCACTCCTGCTCCAGAGGGCCTCCGAGGTGTGTGTGGGGAAGGCCGTTTTTGCCCTCCCCAGGCTCATAGAAAAGCTCTGGAGGCTGGGGAGAGCAAAAAACGGGCCTTCTGGCAAATGGGCCGTTTCCAGCCTCCAGAGGGCCTCCGGGGGGTGGGGAAGGCTGTTTTCACCCTCCCCAAGCTCCTAGAAAGGCTCTGGAGCCTTGGGGGGGAGAGAGAAACGTGCCATCGCATGCCAGGAGAAGGGGGGAGGGGGGGTCGCACACACATGCGCAGGGGCGGGGCACATAGAATTATGGATGTGGGCACACATGCGCGTGACACCCCCTCTCCCTCCCCCCCCCGCTGGTGGCACGTGATGGCAAAAAGGTTAGCCATCACTGGCATAGGGTCTCCTGCTTGAGCAGTGGGTTGGACTGTAAGACCTCCAAGGTCCCTTTCGACCAGGGGTGAAATGCTCCCAGTTCGGACCAGCTCGCCCGATCCGGTAGCAATGACGGCGGGTGGTTCAGAGAATCGGTAGCAAAAATCCCTGCCCCCCCCATGCCCTGCTGAGCCGCGTGATCATCAGAGGCTGTTTTTTTTACTTTTAAAAGCATTTTTTCTACAACCTCTTCAGCCAAAAAAATGCTTTTAAAAGTAAAAAAAACAGCCTCTGATGATCGCGCGGCTCAGCTGGGATCATCAGAGGCTTTTAAAAGGATTTTTTCTACAACCTGTTCGGCCGAAGAGGTTGTAGGAAAAAAAAAATGCCTTTAAAAGCCTCTGGCGATCCCAGCTGAGTTGCCTGATCATCAGAGGCTTCTAAAAGCATTTTTTTCTGCAACCTCTTCGGCCGAAGAGACTGTAGGAAAAAAAAATGCCTTTAAAAGCCTCTGGCGATCCCAGCTGAGTTGCCTGATCGTCAGAGTCTTCTAAAAGCATTTTTTTCTGCAACCTCTTCGGACGAAGAGGTTGTAGAAAAAATGCTTTTAAAAGTAAAAAAAAAAAAAAAAAAGTTGGCCACGCCCACCCAGTCACATTACCCCCACCACCACGAGGCCACGCCCACAGAACCGGTAGTAACAAATTTTAGATTTCATCCCTGCTTCCAACTCTGTTACTCTGTTAATGAGCGTAATTGCTTTTCACTGAATTGGACCATTATACGGGTAGTCCTCACCTTACGACCACAGTTGAGCTCAACATTTCTGCTGCGAAGTGAAAATGTGCCATGTGAATTTTGTTCCGTTTTACAACCTTTCTGGCCACAGTCGTTAAGTTAGCCTTGGTGGCGCAGCAGACTAAAGTGCTGTTAACTAGCACCAGCTGCCTGCAATTACTGGCAAGTTCGAATCTCACCAGGCTCAAGGTTGACTCAGCCTTCCATCCTTCCGAGGTAGGTAAAATGAGGACCTGGATTGTGGCGGCAATAAGCTGATTTTGTATAAAAAAAACACCGCTTGGGGGTGTGTGGGGGCAAAAGCCCTACTAAGCAGGTATATACAAAAAGTATGAAGGCTATTGCTTAACGCATTGTAAGCCGCCCTGAGTCTCCGGAGAAGGGCAGCATATAAATCGAACTAATAAATAAATAAATAAACCCAGTTGTTTAAGTGCATCTGGCTTCCCCCCTTGATTTTGCTTGTCAGGAGGTCGCAAAAGGGGATCACGTGACCCTTAAACCAGTCCAAGCATCATAAATATGAGTCAGTTGCCAAGCCTCTGAATTTTGGCCATGGGGATGCTGCAAGACAGCCGACAGCCTCCCACCGACCAGTACGCGCCCACAGAGAGGGACTCCTCAGGGTGCCATCAGCCAGGCAATGTCGGCTGGCGACCCCCAGGGAGAGGGCCTTCTCTGTGGCAGCTCCTGCCCTCTGGAACGATTTGCCCCCGGAGATACGAAGGATATCGGATCTCCGGGTCTTTCGCCGTGCCCTAAAAACTTTTCTTTTCCATCAAGCAGGGCTGGCGTGAAACCCCCTCCCCACTTTTTAAGCCTTTTTTAGCTTTTTAAATTGTCAATGGGTTTTAGTTTGAATGTTTTAAATTTTGGGCCAAAGTCATGTAATTCTTTTAAAAATTTTAAATTTTGTATTGGTATGTGTTTTAGTTCTGGCTGTGCACCGCCCTGAGTCCACTAGGAGAAGGGCGGGATACAAATTGAATAAAATAAATAAATAAATAAATAATAATAAAAAAATAAATAAATAAATAAATAAAAAAATAAATAAAAAAATAAATAAAAAAATAAATAAGTGTGAAAAACGGTCCAAGTTCCCTTTTCAGTGTGGTTTTTATTTTAGATCTGACTTGATTGGTTTGCTTTCCTTGGAGATTCAGCCAAGCGAATGGATTGATAGGTCGTTCTGGATTTGGAATAGTTCATTTAGTGACCATTCAAAGTCACTAAATGAACTATCGAGCGGTCACTAAATGAACTATTCCAAGTCCAGGACGACCTATAAATCCATTCATTTGGCTCAATCCAGTGGTGAAATGTAAAATTTGTTACTAGCGGTTCTGTGGACATGGCTTGGTGGGGGGGGGGTTTAATATGACTGAATGGGCGTGGCCAACTTTTTTTTTTTTTTTTACTTTTAAAACCATTTTTTCTACAACCTCTTCGGCTGAAGAGGTTGTAAAAAAAATGCTTTTAAAGCCTCTGACGATCCCAGCTGACTTGCCTGATCGGCAGAGGCTTTTTTTCCTGTTAAAAACATTTTGTTCTATAACCTCTTCCGCTGAAGAGGTTGTAGAAAAAATGCTTTTAAAAGCCTCTGATGATCCCAGCTGAGCCGCGCGATCATCAGAGGCTTTTTTTATTACCTTTTAAAAGCATTTTTTCGGCCAAAGAGGTTGTAGAAAAAATGCTTTTAAAAATTAAAAAAAAGCCTCTGATGATTGCGCGGCTCAGCTGGGCAATGGGGGAGGGGGCAGGGATTTTTGCTACCGGTTCTCCGAACCACCCGCCTCCATCGCTACTGGATCGGACGATCCGGTCCGAACCGGGAGCATTTCACCCCTGGCTCAATTGCCAACGAAAGCAAACCAATCAAGTCAGATCTAAAATATTGTTTCTATCCAGGCAGTTAATTTCCAATTTTTCCCCCACAAAATGTTCTTCAGAAGCCGGGTGTCAGTTGTTTTCCTCTCGACGGTTGATCCTAAAAGGCAGACCCTCGTCACTCCTTTAATAATCCCCCTTGCCAGTTCTATAGCTGGTGGACATACTTAATGATGATTAGTTTGGTTTTCTTTATATTCCCCACCCACTTTCCCCTATCTGCCTTGACTGTCGTTATCACAGCTTCCAGATAACTCAATCCGTATGCCGAATATCTCTCGAGGGAAGTTGTAATTGACTTACGAGACACGTTTTCGAAACCTTGCTCAGCTCCGGAACAATTCCGACAGCTGACGACGTTTAAAAAAGCAATAAAAGAGAGCACCGTGTCGCCCAGAGGGATTGCTAATGAGTGTGATTATTAAAATGGGTGAAGAAACCCTCAGGAACCGGGGCTCTGCTGAGGATTAACCCGAGGAAAGTAAGGAATGAGAAGAGGTGAACTACAAAGGATTCATTTACGACAGTAATAAATGCACGACTGAGAGACATTAAGGCCAGGCTGAGCAAAGAACATTCAGGAGAAAGTCTATGTAGAGTCAATTAATCAATCAGAATAGAGCTGGAAGGGACTTTGGAGGTCTTCTAGTCCAACCCCATGCTCAAGCAGGAGATCCTATACCATTTCAGACAAATGATAGTTCAGTCTCTTCTTAAAAATCTCCAGTAATGAAGGACCCACAACTTCTAGAGGCAGGATGTTCCACTGGTTAATTGTCTTTACTGTTGGAAAGTTTCTCCTTAATTCCAGAACTCATCCTCTCCTGGTGATTAGTCCAAAGTCACCCAGGTGGCTTTCATGGCGAAGGTGGGACTAGAACTCACTGTCTCCCGGTGTTCGGCCCAAAGTCACCCAGCTGGCTTTCATGCCTAAAGCGGGACTAGAACTCACTGTCTCCCGATGATTGGCTCAAAGTTACCCAGGTGGCTTTCATGGCGAAGGCGGGACTAGAACTCACCGTCTCCTGATGACTGGCCCAAAGTCACCCAGCTGGCTTTCATGCCTAAAGCAGGAGTAGAACTCATTGTCTCCTGATGATCGGCCCAAAGTCACCCAGCTGGCTTTCATGGCTAAGGCAGGACTAGAACTCACTGTCTCCTGGTGATTGGCCCAAAGTCACCCAGGTGGCTTTCATGCCTAAAGCAGGAGTAGAACTCATTGTCTCCTGATGATCGGCCCAAAGCTTTCATGGCTAAGGCAGGACTAGAACTCACTGTCTCCTGGTGATTGGCCCAAAGTCACCCAGGTGGCTTTCATGGCTAAGGCAGGACTAGAACTCACTGTCTCCTGGTGATTGACCCAAAGTCACCCAGCCATGTTTCATTGCTAAGAAAGTACTAGAACTCACAGTCTCCCAGTTTTCATTCTGGTGCCTTATAACCCCCTAGACCAAATTGGCTCTTTGCTCCTCCTTTCCGCAACTTCTGACTTTTGTAGCTCTTTCATTGGGTCCTAATAGTAATGCAGCCACTTCTTCTTATTTAAAGTATTTTATTACATTTAGCTACCGCCTCATCTCACTCTTCCTGCTGAGGTTGCATCCAGTACCAGAGATACTGGATACTGTGTGGGTGCTCTGGTACCCCCACAGAGATAGGTCAATGCAACAATTATTCAGACAACTTTGCATAAGAACAGATTTGCCACTGCTTTGCAGTTTAGGCCACGTGAAGCTGTGTGAACTCCAACTCCCAGAATTCCCCTGCTAGCCAATGGCAGCAGAGAGGCCCTGATTTTGGCATTCTTTGCTGCCCTCTACAGGTCGTCCGCACTTTGCAGCCCAGATTTGGTAACTCCCACTGAATAGCCGCCGGCGCCCCCTTTAAAAGATGGCCGCCTTGGCCTCCCGGAAACAGAAGCGCCTGCGTTGAACAGTAAAACGCGCTTTGGCTGCTCCAGCTCCCCGTAGCACAATCAGCTGGCCACGGTTTTTTTTTTTTTTTCCGTTTCTTCTTCCAAGATGGTGGCGCCCAGGTTACTCGGCAACCGGAGGCTTTGGGACAGTTCGACGTCCTTCTTCTTCCTCCTGCAACTCATTCTCTCGGCGGTCGGGGCAAAGCAGGAGCCCATCAAGGCCGACTTCGATGTCAGACCCGGCGGGATGGTTCACTCGTATTCGCAAAATCTGGTGAGAGCGAACGAGCCAGAGCAGAGAGCTAGGTGGCGCCTGCTGATTGGTCGGGCTTGAGTCTTCAGTCCCGAAAAGCTAGCTTCTGATTGGTTGAAAGGAGGGGCGGGTCTTTTTTGTGATGCTGTGATTGGTCTCTTAGGAGCCGAAGGCGGGCGAGACGGAGCGTTTTGGCATGTTCCGGCCAGGCTTCCGTAGAAAGTGGCTAAATGCAGAATTGTAGTTTATAGTGGGTGCCCCAAACTTACCCCGGGTTAAATGGGTGGTAGAGCCCTTGCCACGGTTTTCCTCCTGCCTATGAGATGGTGGCACTTGCCGTTGGCTCCATGTATGCTGTGCCTCTTTCCTCTTAATTTTTTACATTTATGTGGCTGCCCCTTTAAACCTCTTTCCAAATATTTCCAACATTTCTATTACTTTTTTTATTATATATTAATATCTTGATTAGTGGGGTAAATTCGATTTTTGCGGGCTTTGCACGTTGGGTTACACTTCTTATTTTTTCCCCAGGGTTATTGCTGAAGGTTTTTTTTTTTTTTGTATATTATATAAAGTGCAGGTAGTCCTCGACTTGCGACCACGATGGAGCCCAACATTTCCGTCGCTAAGTGAGACACTTGTTAAGTGAGGTTTGCCCCCCCCATTTTACGACCTTTCCTGCCGCAGTTATTAAGCGAATCGCTGCAGTCAAGTTAATAACACGTTGGTTAAGTGTGAAAAATGGCCATAAGTCGCTTTTTTTCAGTACCGTTGTAACTTTCAAACGGTTGTAAGTCGAGGACTGCCTATAAACATTTTAAAAAGTTAAGGATCTTAATTCCTGGTGATTGCCAGGTGGTCCTCGACTTATGACCACAATTGAGCCCATTGAGTAGGTGGTCTGAATTCAGCTGCGGAGAAACTCCTGTCAAAGCCTTCTCTGATGACAAGTGTCACCGAATGCAGTAGAATAGGTGACAGACGGACTAACCATGTTCGTTTGTTTCAGTATTTCTGAGGGCCTTTTCAGTTAAAAAAAATGAGGTAACATAGTATATCTGGGAATTGCTGGGCAATATGGGAATTGGATTATTATTAGTAGGAATATGTATTTATTAAAAGTATGAACATCGATGTTCATTGCAGTTAGGGTAGCTTATATTGAATGTTGGTTTAGTGGTTAAGGTATTGGGCTAGAAACTGGAACACTGAGTTCTAGTCCTTACTTACTTGTGAAAGCTGACTAGGTGACTTTAAGCCAATCACCAGGAGACTGTGAATTCTAGTCCTTCCTTAGACATGAAAGCCAGCTGGGTGACTTTGGGCCAAGCACCAGGAGACTGTGAATTCTAGTTCTTCCTTAGGCATGAAAGCCAGCTGGGTGACTTTGGGCCAATCACCAGGAGACTGTGAATTCTAGTTCTTCCTTAGGCATGAAAGCTGGCTAGGTGACTTTGGGCTTTCTCTCAGCCTACCCACCTCACAGGATTGTTGTTACAGGGAAAATAGAATAGGAAGAAAGAATACAGGATGTCCTCCACTTATAACAGTTCATTTAATGACCATTCGAAGTTATAACAGCACTGAAAAAACTGACATGCCCATTTTTTACTTTTTTTTTTTTATTACTTAATATAATCGTCCTGCAGAAAAATAAAGAGCGACCACAGTTAGTCCCAAAGAGAATATAGAATAATAGAGTTGGAAGGGATCTTGGGAGGTCATCTAGAATAGAATGGAATGGAATGGAATGGAATGGAATGGAATGAATAGAATGAATGAATGAGCTGGAAGGGACCTTGGAGGTCATCTAGTCCAGCCCCCTGCTCAAGCGGAATGGAATGGAATGGAATAGAGAATAGAATAGAATAGAATAGAATAGAATAGAATAGAATAGAATAGAATAGAATAGAATAGAATATTATTATTAGTCATAATTCTATGCCGCCCACTCTCCGAGGACTCTGGGCGGCTTACAACAATTGACAGAATACTAAATAGCCTATTGCCCCCAGCAATCTGGGTCCTCATTTTACCCACCTCGGAAGGATGGAAGGCTGAGTCAACCTTGAGCCGGTGAGATTTGATCCGCTGATCTGCTGAACTAGCAGATCTACTGAACTAGCTGCAGTACTGCACTCTAACCACTGCGCCACCTCGGCTCTATTTTTCACACCATTGCAACATCCCTGTGGTCACGTGATCAAAATTCGGACGCTTAACAACTGACTCATATTTATGACGGTCACAGTGTCCCGTGGTCATGTGATCCCCTTTTGTGACCTTCTGACAAGCAAAGTCAACGGGGAAGCCAGATTCGCTTAACAATCATGTTATTAACTTAACAACTGCAGGGATTCCCTTAACGAGTGTGGCAAGAAAGGTTGTAAAACGGGGCAAAACTCACTTAACTACTATCTTGCTTAGCAACATAAATTTTCGGCTCAATTTTGGTCAGAATTCAAAGACTATTAGATATGTTTGCCACCTTGCGTTACTTATAAAAAGTAATAAAGTCAGAATAAAAAATATTAAAATTAAAATAGGTAGGTAGCTAATTTTAGTCATTCATTCATTCATTCTTCGTAAAAAAAGGGAAGTGTTCCTTCTCCATACTGCCAAATTTACAGATTCCAGCGTGTCGCAGCCGTCCAGTAAAAACATGCAACCAGTAAAAGGTGGATGGAGAGCATAATTAAAATAAACATTATCCTGTAAACAGTCCAGAAGAAAACCAACACAAGGATAGAAAAAAAAATAAAAATAAGCAGCACAATCTAAATACATAACAAAAGTAGAACTTAATCGTGAAACGGAAGCTAAAAACAAGAGTTTTTAGGTAATCATGATTAAACCACAATCCCTGGCTTTTGTGTCAGGTCAAATGAAAGCCTGGTGGCGCAGCAGACTAATAGCCTGTTATTATCATCCAGCTGCCTGCAATTACTGCTAGTTCGAATCTCCCCAGGCTCAAGGTTGACTCTGCCTTCCATCCTTTCTAAGGTAGGTAAATTGAGGACCCAGTTTGTGGGGGCAATAAGCTGACTTTGTATAAATATACAAAAGTATGAAGGCTATTGCTTAACGCATTGTAAGCCGCCCTGAGTCTCCGGAGAAGGGCGGCATATAAATCAAATTAAAAAAATAAATAAATCAGGAGCTGCTAAATGGTGTTGGAAGAAATGTCCATCTGGGTTCAGTTCCAAGCGGAGAGAAAAACACTGGAAACATGAACGGCTGCTTGGAAAGATGGTTTAATGGTGGACAGGACCATGTGGGTTAAGGTCCTGGGCAAAAAGAGCATATGGGTGAGAGAGAGAGAGAGATTTATACCCTCTCCTGGGCCCTGCCTTGGGGCTTCCTGTTCCTGTGTAAGAAATGTACTCTGATTAGTTGTCAGACTCCCATGGAGCTGTGCAGGGGTAACTTTGTAGGTTGTCTTGTGTCCCAGGCTTGGTTGAATCTTGCTGGGTGATGCAATCTCCCCAGATTGCGTGTGGTGAGTTCTGTTGCTAGATGGGTAGATGTTCTGCCCCAGCTACGGACCCCAAAGAATACAGCACACACAAAGTTTGTACAAAACTTAATTTACTAAAATAACTCAGTCTTTTTCAAAACAAAGGTTGTTAATAAACTTTCTTAACAGCCTACAAGAAACCAAAGATAAAGTAATCACAATCTTACGAAGGTTGGAATAAAGCCCAGAAGCAATGTGCAGAGAATCCAGACGCGAAGTAGAGTGAACTAAAGTTGTTCCCTACAACTTGCTTCAGTCGGCGTTCCTCCTTAAATAGGCTAAGGGAGTGGCCAATTAGCCCCAAACCTTACTCTCGAGGAGACCTCCTTCTGAGGAGCCACTCCTGCCTTTTGGTAGCTCTGCGCGCCCGTGCATCGAGGAGAGGCTCCTCCTCTTCCTCCTCTTCACTTATGGGAGCTTCTGGAGGTTCTGAAGGCCCTGGCTGGATCCCCGCCTCTGGCACCACATCTTCTCCAGCCTCCTCATTGTCTGACTCGGGTGCTAGCTGCACAGGCTGCTGGCCCAACACCACACCAGCCTCCTCACTGTCAGAATCAGCTACAATCTGCACAGGCCGCTGACGGGCCACAACAGTAGAGGGCTAATCCTATTATGTCCCGAGGGTGAAGATCTATTGTTTTGTAGATAAGCTGGCCCAGTCTTTTGTCTTGTAGATAACTAAAATATCAGCTGGGGCTGAGTTTCTGTCTTAAGATCTATTTCTCTTTTAGGGGAAATGTTCTGCCTTTTTAATATTTCCTAAAATATTTCATTCTTCTAGGAGAGGGGTAGTCCTTGACTTATAACCATTCATTTAGTGACTGTTCAAAGTTATAACGGCGCTGAAAAAAGTGACTTTTGATCATTTTCCCACGGAATGGCAGTTCCCACTTAATGACCCTTTCCCACAGTTCACCGGATCAAAATTTGGACACTTGGCAACTGCTTCATATTTATGACGGTTGTAGCGTGTTCCGGGTCACGTGATCCCCCTTTTGCGACCTTCTGACGAGCAAAGTCCACGGGGAAGCCCGATTCACTTAAATAACCGTGTTACGAACTTAACCAGGGCACCGATTCGCTGAACCACTGCGGCAAAGCAAGGTCGTAAAAGGGGGCAAAACTCACGGAACCACTTTCTCGCTTAGCAGCGGGAATTGCAGTCGTGAGCCAAGGACTTCCTCTAATGAGGCATGTCGCGCAGGTCCAACCTTTTGTGTTTTGAAGACCGTGGATTTCCCTACCATTTCTTGTGTTATTTTTTTAACAGGGAGACGTTACCTGCACTTTTACCTACGCAGCTCAGGGCGGGACGAACGAGGTAAGTTTTTTTCTTCCTTTCAATCCTTGTGATCCATTCTAGGTGAATCAGTGGTGGGTTGCTCCCGGTTTGTAAGAACCGGTAGTAAAAATTTATAATAGTTCGGAGAACATTGGCTGACCACGCCCCCGAACCGGTCGCCGCTCGCTTACCCCACCTCATCAGAGGCTTTTTTTTTTTTACTTTTAAAAGCATTTTTTCTACAACCTCTTTGGCTGAAAAAATGCTTTTAAAAGTGTAAAAAAAAAAAAGCCTCTGATGATCCCGCGGCTCAGCTGGGATCGTCAGAGGCTTTTCTAAGCATTTTTTTCTGCAACCTCTTAAGGTTGTAGAAAAAATGCTTTTAAAAGTTTAAAAAAAAAAAGTTGGCCACACCCACCCAGTCACATTACTCCCAACAAGCCATGCCCACAAAATAAGCCACGCCCACAGAACCGGTAGTAAAAAAATGTAGAACCCACCCCTGACGTGGATCTAGACAAGACCTCTGCGTTTCGCAAAACTGAACTCCCATACAGAAGCACGCCAGCTTCTACAGAGGGAGGGTCTCAGCCCGAGAAGAGGGAGAAGTGGAGGTGAGGGTGAGGAAGCCAAGTTGGCCTGAGAATCTCATTCTCTGCAGGGTCCTGGAGGCTCTTTGAGCTTGGCTGTTGCCAGCAGCTTAGACATTAATGGCTGTGTGTTGGGTTATTTTGGGGACGGCACATTTAGAATGGAATGGAATGGAATGGAATGGAATGGAATGGAATGGAATGGAAGATAGGGAAGGGAAGGGAAGGGAAGGGAAGGGAAGAGAAAAGAGAAGAGAAGAGAAGAGAAGAGAAGAGAAGAGAAGAAGAGAAGGAATGGAATGGAATGGAATGGAATGGAATGGAATGGAATGGAAGATAGGGAAGGGAAGGGAAGGGAAGGGAAGGGAAGGGAAGGGAAGAGAAGAGAAGAGAAGAGAAGAAGAGAAGGAATGGAATGGAATGGAATGGAATGGAATGGAATGGAATGGAATGGAATGGAATGGAATAGAAGATAGGGAAGGGAAGGGAAGGGAAGAGAAGAGAAGAGAAGAGAAGAGAAGGAATGGAATGGAATGGAATGGAATGGAATGGAATGGAATGGAATGGAATGGAATGGAATGGAAGATAGGGAAGGGAAGGGAAGGGAGGGGAAGAGAAGAGAAGGAATGGAATGGAATGGAAGATAGGGAAGGGAAGGGAAGGGAAGAGAAGAGAAGAAGAGAAGGAATGGAATGGAATGGAATGGAATGGAATGGAATGGAATGGAATGGAATAGAAGATAGGGAAGGGAAGGGAAGGGAAGGGAGGGGAAGAGAAGAGAAGAGAAGGAATGGAATGGAATGGAATAGAAGATAGGGAAGGGAAGGGAAGGGAAGGGAGGGGAAGAGAAGAGAAGAGAAGGAATGGAATGGAATGGAATGGAATGGAATGGAATGGAATATATGGAATGAATGGAATGGAATAGAGTAGAATAGAGTAGAATAGAATAGAATAGAATAGAATAGAATAGAATAGAATAGAATAGAATAGAATAGAATAGAATAGAATTCTTTATTGGCCAAGTGTGATTGGACACACAAGGAATTTGTCTTTGGTGCATAAGCGCTCGGAGTACATAAAAGAAAAGATACATTCGTCAAAAATCATAAAGTACAACACTTAATGATAGTCATAGGGTACAAATAAGCAATCAAATCATATTAGGAAACAGTCAATATAAATCGTAAGAATCCAAGCAACAAAGTTACAGTCATACAGTCATAAGTGGAAGGAGATGGGTGATGGGAACGATGAGAAGATTAATAGTAGTGCAGACTTAGTAAATGGTAAATTAGTAAATTTACACTGTTATACAAGCTGTATACTCGTTACTTTACATTGTAGCCAAATGTCATTTCTTCAGTGTTGTCACACGAAAAGATATACTTAAATATTTACAAAATGTGAGGTGTACTCACTTCTGTGTTATACTGTATATTGTATTTTCCTCTCCTCTTTTCTCTTCTCTTCTCTTCTCTTCTCTTCTCTTCTCTTCTCTTCTCTTCTCTTCTCTTCTCTTCTCTATTCTCTTCTATTTATTTTATTCTATTCATTTATTGACCTTTGCCCTTCTCTCTGATTTCAGCAATGGGAAATGATTATTGGGGTCAGCGAAGACAAGAAGTTAATTTCCTGTTCGATCTGGAGGTATGTCTTTACCACCTCCACCCCCACCCCGGTTACGGGTATAAGCTTTACAGGTAGTCCTTGCCTTATGACCGTCAAACAGCTGTCAGGTGAGTTGGCTCCATTTTACGACATTTCTTCTCACAAGTGAATCACTGCAGGTCTTAAACCATCATAAATGTGGGTCAGTTGCCCACTGTCAGTTGCCAACGCAAATCTTCAGCCCATTGTAAGCTCCTCCTCCTCCTCGTCTCTCTGCAAACCCTACTCCCTTCTAGCACTGATGATGTTACCTAATTGGGTCATGAAACGTCTACAGAAAAACAACCAAGCTCAGAAAGCGCCAAGGACCCAGAGTCCTCCTCCTCCTCCTCCTCTCCTTCCTTTCTTCTCCTCCTCCTCTCCCTCATTCTCTCCCTTCTTCTTTTCCTCCTCCTCCTCCTCCATCCCTTCTCCTGTGGTACCTGGCTCAATAGTAGCAACAGAGGGATCTTGGCGTCCTAGTGGACAACCATTTAAATATGAGCCAGCCGTGTGCGGCAATTGCCAAAAAAGCCAACACAGTTCTAGGCTGCATCAACAGAGGGAGAGAATCAAGATCACGTGAAGTGTTGATACCACTTTATTAGGCCTTGGTAAGGCCACACGTGGAATACGGCATCCAGTTTTGGTGGCCACGATGTAAAAGAGATGTTGAGACACTGGAAAGAGTGCAGAGAAGAGCAACCAAGAGGATTAGGGGACTGGAGGCTAAAACATACCAAGAAGGGCTGCAGGAATTGGGTATGTCTAGTTTGATGAAAAAAAAAAAGTCAATGGGGAAACCAGATTCACTTAACAACCGTCTGACTAATTTAACGACCGCAGTGATTCACTTCACAAACGAGGCAAGAAAAGTCACAAAATGGGGCAAAACCTCACTTGACAAATTTCTCCCTTAGCACCGTAAATTTTGGGCTCAATTGGAGGTCGTAAATCAAGGGCTTACCTGTGTTAGTATTTATGCTTTTTATCATCTTCTTTAAATCTTCCTTTTGTTGGTATTATTATTATTATTGTTATTCTTCTTTCTGTGGCTTTGCAAGTACACTGAGTGTTTCTGTGCCGAGACAAACTCCTTGGGTGTCTAATCAGAGTTGGCCAAATAAAACATGCAATTCAATTGAATTCAATTTTTCCTTTCCTTTTCCTTTCTGTTTCCCTCCCCTTTCTGTCTTCTCTCCTCTGCCCTCCTCCTCCTCCCCCTCCCCCTCCTCTTCTCCTCCTCCTCCTCCCCTCCCCTTCCTATTCTTCTTTTTCTTCTCCTCCTCCTCCTCCTCTTCTCCTCCCTCCTCCCCTCCCCATTCTTCTTCTCCACCTCCTCCTCCTCCTCCCCCTCCTCCTATTCTTCTTCTTCTCTTCCTCCCCTCCCCTCCCTATTCTTCTTTTTCTTTTCCTCCTCCCCCTTCTTCTCCTATTCTTCTTCTCTTCCTGCTCCTCCTTCCCTCCTCCTCTTTTTCTTCTCCTCCTCCTCCCCTCCCCTTCCTATTCTTCTTTTTCTTCTCCTCCTCCCCCTCCTCTTCTCCTCCTCTCCTCCTCCCCTCCCCATTCTTCTCCTCCTCCTCCCCCTCCTCTTCTCCTCTTCTTCTTCTCCTCTTCCACCCCTCCCCTCCTCTCCCCTTCCTATTCTTTTTTCTTCTCCTCCTCCCCCTCCTCTTCTCCTCCTCCCCTCCTCCCCTCCCCATTCTTCTCCTCCTCCTCCCCCCTTCTCCTCTTCTTCTCTTCCTGCTCCTCCTTCCCTCCTCCTCCTTTTTCTTCTCCTCCTCCCCTCCCCTCCTCCCCTCCCCTTCCTATTCTTCTTTTTCTTTTCCTCCTCCTCCCCCTTCTCCTTCTCTTCCTGCTCCTCCTTCCCTCCTCCTCTTTTTCTTCTCCTCCTCCTCCCCTCCCCTTCCTATTCTTTTTTCTTCTCCTCCTCCCCCTCCTCTTCTCCTCCTCTTCTTCTTCTTCTCTCCTCTTCCTCCCCTCCTCCTTCCCTCCCCTTCCTATTCTTCTTTTTCTTTTCCTCCCCCTCCTCTTCTCCTCCTCCCCTTCCCTCCCCTCCCTATTCTTCTCCTCCTCCTCTCCTCTCCTCCCTTTCCTATTCTTCTTTTTTTCTCCTCCTCCTCCCCGCCTCCTCCTCCCCTCCCCTCCCTATTCTTCTCCTCCCCCTCCCCCCTCCTCCTCCTCCTATTCTTCTTCTTCTCCTCCTCCTCCTCCTCCATCCCCCTTCTTTTTTTTCCCCTTTTCTTTTAGGCCCCAAGGAAAATCTTACCTTTTCTTCACCCAGTTTAAAGCTGAGATGAAAGGAGCAAAGATCCAGTACGCCATGGCTTACGTGAGTCCCGTCTGAAGGGGGCTGGGGGAAGGTGGTGCCTGTAACTCAGGGTTTGTATGCCAGTTTGAATTGAGGAGTCCCTTTCTCCCTCTCAGTTTATGGGTTCGCCTACTACAAAATTCTTGGCCCTTCCTATATTTTCTGCTGACCACTAGGAGGCACTACCCAACCAGCTTCACCCTTATATTGGGACTGATGAGGTACATAGATATACCTAATACAGGTAGCCCTCAATTCAGCCCAAAATTGATATTGCAAAGTGAGAAACTTGTTAAGGGGGTCTTGCCCCGTTTTACGACTTTTCTCACCCCATTGGTTAAGCGAATCGCTGCAGTTGTTAAATTAGTAACACGGTCGTTAAACGAATCTGGCTTCCCCCATTGACTCTGCTCGTCGCAAAAGGGGATCGCGTGACCCGGGGACACTGCAACCGTCATAAATGTGAACCAGTTGTCAAGCACCCGAATGTAATTCTCGTGACCACGGGGATGCTGCAACGGTCATAAGTGGGGAAAACGGTCATAAGTCCCTTTTTTCAGTGCCGTTGTAACTTTGAACGGCCACTAAATGAACTGTCGTAAGTCGAGGGCTACCTGCATATATAATATATGCAATTCGAGGACAAAACTGATCTTATGGTGAGTGCCTTCGAATGGTCAATAGTAAATAGAACATATAAAAAAGGGATATAGGGGAAAGGCTCCGAGGCTTCTGCTAGGAGGCCCAGAAAGAACTAACAGTGATAAGACAGAACTAATGGAGAAGAGCAACAAAGTTGATGAGGGGGCTGGAGACTAAAACATATGAAGAACAGTTGCTGGAATTGGGTAGGTCTAGTTCAGGGCTGTCGAACTCCTGGCCAACGGGCCAGATGCGTCACATGCTGGCCACACCCACGCCCGGTTTATCGAAGGGGGAAAAGTCCCGATACGTCACGTGACGATGCCGTGACGATGTGAGTTTGACACCCCTGATCTAGTTTAATGAAAAGAAGGACTAAGGGAGACACGATAGCATCTTCCAATATCTCAGGGGCTGCTACAAAGAAGAGGGAATCAAGCTATTCTCCAAAGCACCCGACGGCAGGAGAAGAAGCAATAGGTGGAAACTAATCAAGGAGAGAAGCAACCTAGAATGAAGGAGAAATTTTCTTACAGTGAGAACAATTAACCAGTGGAACAGCTTGCCACCAGAAGTTGTGGGTGCTCCATCACTGGAGGTTTTTAAGAAGAGACTGGACAATCATTTGTTTTGAATGGGGTAGAGTTTCCTGCCTGAGCAGGGGGCTGGAGTAGAAGACCTCCAGGGTCCCTTCCAGATCTATGATAAATAAACTCTCTGGTTTGAAAGGGTAAATAATGAGGAAAAATGGCGTCTCTCAACTGCATCCATTCGTCGCTCTACTCCTGGTTATAAAGCTTAGTCTACTCTTGGTTCAACCCTGGCCTTCCTCCCTGGTCTCGTTATGGTAGAGTAGAGGACTCCTTTTTAAGCTTCCCATCAGGTACTTTTAAGCGTAGATCATGTTGTCTTTCTTTCATTGATGCCCCACCCCTCAAGTGTGCTGCTGTTCTCAACCACATCTGCTTGGCTCCCTCCCCCCCCATACCTCACAGCCTCTAGAGCAGGGGTCTCCAACCTTGGCAACTTTAAGACTTGTGGACTTCAACTCCCAGAATTCCTCAGCCAGCCGGCTGAGGAATTCTGGGAGTTGAAGTCCCCAAGTCTTAAAGTTGCCAAGGTTGGAGACCCCTGCTCTAGAGCAGGGATTTTCAACCTGGACAACTTGAAGATATATGGACTTCAATTCCCAGAATTCCTCAGCCAGCTTGCTGCCTGGAGAATTGTGGGGGGTTGAAATCCAAAAATGTTGGCTGGGGAATTCTGTGGGTTGAAGTCCACCCATGTGGGCTAGGGAATTCTGGGAGTTGAAGTCCAAAAATGTTGGCTGGGGAATTCTGGAGGTTGACGTCTACCGATGTGGGCTGGGGAATTCTGGGGTTGACGTCCATGCTGATGATTTCATCCATGCTGGCTGGGGATTCTGGGGATTGAAATCCATCCATGCTACCTGGGAAATTCTTGGGGTTGAAGTCCTACCATACTGCCTGAGGAATTCTGGGGGTTGATGTCTATTTTGATGATTCATCCATGCTGGCTGGGGAATTCTGGGAGTTGTAGTCCACCCATATTAGCTGGGGAATTCTGGGCATTAAAGATCACATACATCAACTTGTGAAAGTTGTGAAACCTTAACTATACAGGATTTCCTTGGGTGCACTAGTATCTCCTTGGTGGAGTTGGGGCTGCCATCTTGATTTTTTTTTAACGTTGCCAACACCCTGGGCCCACTTCCCTCTTGTCTCAGGGACCGGCCATTAAAATAGTAGGGCTGGGGTCAAGCCCTTTGGGTGCTCCTGCTTGACTGAGGGGTTTGTTTCTTTCAGTCCTCGGCTAGCGTCGGAGGACAGAACGATGTCCCATTAAAAGAGGAGGAATTCTTGGTCACGGAACAGGCAGGTGAGTTTGTTTGTTTGTTTGTTTGTTTGTTTGTTTATAACATCTAGACAGCCACCCGTCTTTCAACCAACTCTGGAGTAGAAGACCTCCAAGGTCCCTTCCAACTCTCTCTATTCTATTTCTAATTCTAATTAATTCTCTCATTCTAGTTCTTTAATTCTAATTCTCTCATTCTAATTCTTTAATTCTTATTCTCTAATTCTCATTTTCTAATTCTCTAATTCTCATTTTCTAATTCTCTAATTCTAATTCTCTAATTCTGATTCTTTAATTCTCATTCTCTAATTCTCTAATTCTGATTCTTTAATTCTCATTCTCTAATTCTCATTCTCTAATTTTAATTCTGTAATTCTAATTCTGTACTTCTAATTCTTTAATTCTAATTCTCTAATTCTAATTCTAATTCTTTAATTCTCATTCTCTAATTCTCATTCTCTAATTCTCATTCTCTAATTCTCTAATTCTAATTCTCTAATTCTCTAATTCTAATTCTCTAATTCTGATTCTTTAATTCTAATTCTCTAATTCTGTAATTCTAATTCTGTACTTCTAATTCTCTACTTCTAATTCTCTAATTCTAATTCTCTAATTCTAATTCTTTAATTCTCATTCTCTAATTCTCATTCTCTAATTCTAATTCTAATTCTTCTATCCCTATCCCATTTCTATTCTATTTCTAATCTTCCTGCTATCCTCTTCCTCTTTCCAGTGTCTCACCGGGAGGGCAAATTCCACTCCGAACTCTCCAAGCTGATGATCGTGGCCGAAAAATCCCACGACGAACTGTGAGCCCCGTCCATCTTGGCCTCGGCGAAGACCTCAGGTCGCTCTTGGTGGGGACTCTTCTTTTCACGGATCCCAAGGTCCACCTGAGCGCGCCATTTTAAGAAGAACACATTTGGGGAAGAAACACAAGCCATGCGTATGACCCTTGGACTCGGGAGCTCCCTTCCACGGCATTCTTCCGTGTCCTGCAACGCGTGAGAAGCGAACTGGGGACAGGATTAATGCATCTCGGATCCGATGCTGCAAAAACTGATTGCATAGGATCTGGCCGTATCCACTTGGAGCAGGATTTAGCCCAAAAGTCTTGCAGAAAGTCCATCCCTTTGCAGGAATTGGTGTGTGCGTGTTTTGCTCGCGCGTGTAATCCCCTCCAAAAAGTTTCCTTCTCCCCTCTTCCCACCTCTTCCCCATATACTGGTCGAATGGTCACACCCCCCCTAAAAATCCCCCTCCCCCGCCCCTCCCGTGGAAATGGAGCAATCGTATAATAAAAACAGATTTATATCCTCAACTCCGGCGAGTTTCCACCTGCCTTTCCCAACTCGCTTCCCTTACCAAAGAGGAGAAAAGACAGCGGGTCCTCAAGTTACGACCACATTCGAGCCCAGAATTTCTGTCGCTAAGCGAGACATTTCTTAAGGGAGATTCAACCTGGAAATAAGGAGAAATTTCCTGACCGTGAGAACAATCAACCCATGGAACAGAAGCTGCCTTCAGTAGTTGTGGGAGCTTCATCACTGGAGGCTTTCAAGAAGAGACTGGACTGTCCTCTGTCAGAAATGGTGTAGGGGTTCCTGGTTGGATGGGTTGGACTAGATGACCTACAAGGTCCCAACTCTGTTATTATTCTGTTATTCAGAAGTTGTGGCCCCGGCTTCGAGGCAGCCGCCATGGGTGCCGCTCCCCCGCCGCCGGCTCAGAGGGCTTCCTCCGGCCCCAAGGAACTTGCCTGTTCATCTCGGCCGTCCAAGGGGTCCCTCTCTTTCCTCCTGTCCCTACAGGACAAGGTAGGTCCACAGACCTGTCGGTGGCGGCTCAACAGTCGGGGTTTTCGTGGGGCTCAGTAGAGCCCTGCTATTTTCCCGACTGGATCGCCGCGGCGCCAAACCGGAAGTCCCCCAAATTCAATGCGTGCACCCCGCACATGCGCATGCAGCCCCCCCGCATGCGCCCCCTGGATTAACAGAGCCAAAGTTTATTCGACCCAGTTCCACAAACCGCCCAACCTGAAATCACACATTACATTGAACTCCAAAACATTGTCCAGGTTACGGATTCAAGATGGCGCATGAACTTTCAGCGGCCTACACTTAATGGGGTGACTAACAGGAACATCGTCGTCCCATGCGGTGATGAGTAAAAGTCTGTGGGTGGAGTTTGATCCTCTTAATTGTAGCTGCCATCTTGGCATTTTGACACACCAACTCACACACACCCACGACTGCTAATCCCTCCTTTAAATTTAGCCTCAAATCGATTTAATCGTGCACCACAGATTAAAACTGACTCCATCCAATGTTGTGAGAATAGCTAAACTCAGGTTTTTGGCAATATTTAGTCCTCCCTAGAAAAAGCTGACTTGAGGGGAAAGAGAATGGCTGGGAAGAAAAAAGAAAAGATCCATTTCTCCATAGTAGAGTTGGCATGAGGGAATTCTGGGAGTGGAAGTCCGTCCATCTTAAAGAATGCCGGCTGGGGAATTCTGGGAGTGGAAGTCCACCCATCTTGAAGCATGCCGGCTGGGGAATTCTGGGAGTGGAAGTCCACCCATCTTAAAGAATGCCGGCTGGGGGATTCTGGGAGTGGAAGTCCACCCATCTTAAAGAATGCCGGCTGGGGAATTCTGGGAGTGGAAGTCCGTCCATCTTAAAGAATGCCGGCTGGGGAATTCTGGGAGTGGAAGTCCACCCATCTTGAAGCATGCCGCTGGGGGATTCTGGGAGTGGAAGTCCACCCATCTTGAAGCATGCCGGCTGGGGAATTCTGGGAGTGGAAGTCCACCCATCTTAAAGCATGCCGGCTGGAGAATTCTGGGAGTGGAAGTCCACCCATCTTGAAGCATGCCAGCTGGGGAATTCTGGGAGTGGAAGTCCACCCATCTTAAAGAATGCCGGCTGGGGAATTCTGGGAGTGGAAGTGCACCCATCTTGAAGCATGCCGGCTGGGGAATTCCGGGAGTGGAAGTCCACCCATCTTGAAGCATGCCGGCTGGGGAATTCCGGGAGTGGAAGTCCACCCATCTTGAAGCATGCCGGCTGGGGAATTCCGGGAGTGGAAGTCCACCCATCTTGAAGCATGCCGGCTGGGGAATTCCGGGAGTGGAAGTCCACCCATCTTGAAGCATGCCGGCTGGGGAATTCCGGGAGTGGAAGTCCACCCATCTTGAAGCATGCCGGCTGGGGAATTCCGGGAGTGGAAGTCCACCCATCTTAAAGCATGCCGGCTGGGGAATTCTGGGAGTGGAAGTCCACCCATCTTAAAGAATGCCGGCTGGGGAATTCTGGGAGTGGAAGTGCACCCATCTTAAACCATGCCGGCTGGGGAATTCTGGGAGTGGAAGTCCACCCATCTTGAAGCATGCCGGCTGGGGAATTCTGGGAGTGGAAGTCCACCCATCTTAAAGAATGCCGGCTGGGGAATTCTGGGAGTGGAAGTCCACCCATCTTAAAGCATGCCGGCTGGAGAATTCTGGGAGTGGAAGTCCACCCATCTTAAAGAATGCCGGCTGGGGAATTCTGGGAGTGGAAGTCCACCCATCTTGAAGCATGCCAGCTGGGGAATTCTGGGAGTGGAAGTCCACCCATCTTAAAGAATGCCGGCTGGGGAATTCTGGGAGTGGAAGTCCACCCATCTTAAAGAATGCCGGCTGGGGAATTCTGGGAGTGGAAGTCCACCCATCTTAAAGAATGCCGGCTGGGGAATTCTGGGAGTGGAAGTCCACCCATCTTAAAGCATGCCGACTGGAGGATTCTGGGAGTGGAAGTCCACCCACCTTAAAGCATGCCGGCTGGGGAATTCTGGGAGTGGAAGTCCACCCATCTTGAAGCATGCCGGCTGGGGAATTCTGGGAGTGGAAGTCCACCCAGAACAATTGGAACAATCAACCAGTGGAACAACTTGCCTTCAGAAGTTGTGAGTGGAGACTTTCACTGAAGCTCATCCATCAGGTAGGAATGGTGTCTGGGCTCACAATATCCAAGAGGGCCTCCCTTTTTGAAATCCCCCATCCCTTTTCCCCAGAATTCCTGATCCAGCCTTCTTATTCAGAGACGATCTCCACCTCAGCTTGACTTATTGACCCATTTTACAGCTGCCTCCTGCAACATATACTCAGTTCATTTGGTCGAACCAAGAGAGGTGTGACGCACTAATCCAGCCTGTAAATTTAATCTGTCCTCTCTCGTGCAACTTTCTTTTGTTGCAAATTTATATTAGTTTATCAACATATAAAAATACAAAAAAAAAAATATGAAAATAACAGGAAAGGAGCAGGGAATAAGAAAAAAGCATTGACTTCTGATTTTTTGGCGCAGTAGAATAAAGTAATAATATTATTACTATTACCTCAACTTTTTACTTTTATATAATAATTTACACTAGCCATTTCTGTGACCACAAACCTACCTAATCAGCAGAACTCAAAATCCAACTTTCGTTTTTTTTCCCCACCCCAAGCACAAAGTCCAGAAACGGTTTCCGAGTGGAAACTAAATTAATTGTGTTCCTTTCTTAATCTAAGCAATCTATTTCAGCAGTGTCCCTAGCTTAACTCTGTCTGGTGATTCATTTAACGACTGTGGCAAGAATGGTTGTAAAACGGGGCAAATCTCACTTCACGGCTGCCTCGCTTAGCAAGAATTGTGGTCGTACGTCGAGGGCCGCCCGTATATTCGCTTTAAAGAATCTTCTGCAGGAAGACATGACTCCTACTCCGATATTTCTTTTCCTCTTACGCAACTCTTGAGTAGCTGGCCTGGAAGACCACACAATGGGGAAACACCCACATCCACACACACACACCTGTCAACATCGTAGCAAAACATTTCCTGCCCTGTGTGTTTTTAATGACGCCAGCCACCCTGGCTCGGTTTCCCGGACCGCGGCGTGAATAATAAACGTCTCCAGAGGTTGACAAACAAGTCGGACGGCTCGACAGCCGAGCGTCTCTCTCTCTCTCTCTGTCCGGGTTTCCGCCTTTGGCTTGGCAGAGTCCTTCACCTGGAGTGTGGTTGTGGTTCATCACAAGGGTTGTGACACCAGCTGGGCTGCCATCTGCTCCTTCCCACGAAGGCTTCCCTCCGGGCAGCTAGGGACAAAAAACTAGATTTCCTGCAACTGGTCTCCGGATTTCCGTGTTTAAACTGGAAGACAAATAATGTGATGGATACAGAGCCTAAGAGAGGCGGACTTCAACTCCCAGAATTCCCCAGCCAGCACGGGAGAATTCTGGGAGTTGAAGTCCCACGTGTCTTCCGCTTGCCAAGCTTGTGTGCTATCTACTCCAGTGGTGGTTTGCTACCAGTTCGCCCCGGTTTGGGCGAACTGGTAGCAGCAGCAGTGGGAGGCTCCGCCCACCCACTCGACGCTTCTGCGCATGCCCAAAAGCATCACGCTCGCACATGAGCACACGTGTGCACACGAGCCAACCGGTAGCAAACTAAATTGAAACCCACTACTAATCTACTCCCCTAGGCCAGTGTTCCTAAAAACATGATCCACGGACTCTTGAAGGTCCAACCAGGCTGCAGATTCACTTAACAACCACTCTGGTTCATTTAATGACCAGTGCAAAAAAAAGGTCATAAAATCCGGTACAACACACAACCAGTCTATTTCATGTGCTATAACCAGGATGGTCCTGAAAGCATGATCCACAGACCTTGGAAGTCCAACCGGGTTCCGAATTCACTTAACAACCATGATAATTCATTTAATGACCGTTGCAAAAAAAAAAAAAGGTCATAAAACCCAGTCTAATACATGACCAGTTCGTTTTATGACCATCACATGTTACAACCATAATGGGCAGGCTCCATTCTGGGAACGGACGTTGCCAAGGTTGGGAAACAATGCCCTAGTTATTTCAAAGCAGAATGCTCTTGCATATGGAGGCTCCTCAGAGGTCATTAGACGCTGGTTGGGGAATTCTGGGAATTGAAGTTCACCCATCTTCCAGTTGCCAAGCTTCAGAGCGATCCACTTGCCAGTAAGCATGATCCAAGAACTACCGGGTCCAACCAGGCTGTAGATTCACTTAGCAACCACACTGATTCATTTAGTGACCAGTGCAAAAAGGTTCATAAAATCCCGTCCAACACATAACCAGCCATGACCATCACATGCTATAAAAATGATGGGGAAGCTCCATTCCTGGAGTTGCCGTTTCCAAGGTTGGGAAACACTGCCCTGTTTATTTCAAGGCAGACTGCTCTTGAATATGGAAGCTCCTCCCGAGGAGGTTAAACGCTGGCTGGGGAATTCTGGGAGTTGAAGTCCACCCCGCTTCAAGTT